TTAACGTAATAATGACGAACCGATTGAGAGATGTCTATTGTTTATTGGGCTACCACAGGTTCTAAATTTACCATCATTTTATCATTGTTTTATTAATTAAGTATCAAATCTGTTCTTCCATCATGTTAAGTTAGTTAAGTGCTTTATATCACCATCTGCAAGAGAACAGGAAATAGAAAGATTAGCTTGAATTCAACCTAACACAAATGTATGAAGAATGAAAATGAGTGACATGCACGAGGGAAGCAGGAAATATTTATAACAATAACGAGCCTGATGAAGGCAACGATGGCGTTGGTGATTAGAACTATATTAATGATACATGTGATACAATGATACAGGTGATGATGATGAATCTGACAATGACCACGAAAATAAAAATAACAATAACGATGATAATGATAATGACGATGATGGCAATAATGATGATGATGATAACGATGATGATGATGATGATGATGATGACGATGATGATGATGAAGACGATGATGATGATGATGATGATGATAACGATGATGATGATGATGATGATGACGATGACGATAACGATAACGATGACGATGATGATAATGATGACGATGATGATGATGATTTTGATGGTGGTGGTGGTGGTGGTGGTAGTGATGATGATGACGACGACGATGACGACGACGACGATGATGATGATGATGATTTCAATAATGCAATTGCTGGTTTTCAGTATCACGCCATTCAAAATAGACCAAAAAATAATCAAAACCATTCGATAGATAAATTCCAGAATCTAGGGAATGAAAGGAGGTAAAAGACCCTCGTCAAGATTCAGGTCAGAGGAATATTTCGTATACGAGATGTCCGAAAAAATGATTTACCCAAATTCATAGAGATTTGTATGGAGACGCCATGCTGGTGCCATCCGGATGAGCACCAACATGGCGGACGGAAACCAACAGAAACATCTGTTACCGAGTTTTTCTACAAAAGCGTAAATTTACTCCTAGAGGATCTCATAAACATTAAAGTAATACTTTTTCTAATACTTGAACTGTTTAGATAGCAAAATTCCCCACAATACGTCACTTTTTTAACCTACATGACAGCTCTCTCGGCCGTCATGTAAATGCTTCGTCACGCAAACGCTTTGAAATTCAAGAGTACTCCATTACAAAACCAAGAGGTACCAACCAAGCGAAAATTTGTTTGAAAATTAGTTTCAGCTGCTCTAATACACCATGAAAGTAAAATCTCCGTAGGATCGATAGTTTTGTGGTTTGAATTTTAGTGACGTCATGTGAAAACCAACAATTGCAGATATTGATCCTCGACTTCTTGTGGAAGAAATACTACTAGGGAGATGGGTAATTCTCACAGTATACCAGACGAGAACAAAGAAAGATCTTTAGCTTCTACCTTTAACAATGAAGTATCTTAATATCTCCCTTTAAAGCAGAATGGTACTTTTGGTACGTGGCTGTCGAAGCAGCAATTCTTTTGCTCTCATTCATCACGTTGGATTCCTACATAACCGCACTCTTTTCGATCTCCATCACCAATTCCTTGGCATCTGTGACCTAATTTAAGAAAAAAGAATTAGGCGAGACCAAGAAGATAAATGAAGTGGAAATGAGAAAGAACTAGGGATGGCTTTTTGGACAGTGGATTACTTCTTGTTGCCCGTAAAAAGCAAGTCAGTCTCCAGTTAAGTATTTTCAAAATGCTTCTATCAATGCTGTCTTTCCGACTAATCTTATATTTTCTTATCTGTGGCTACTAGCGAAAGGTTCTTTTAGCACGACCCTCAAGGGCGGATCCCGAAAATTCAGAAAAAGGCGGTCAGGAAACTTGCCAGTTACATAGCTACTATAAATATTTTGTTTTAGAGAGTTCATCAAAAATGATATAAAGTTTCAAAGAAAAAAGGTTGGCCTTGGTCCACTAGGCCGGCCCCTAAATCTGCCCATGACCCTTGAAAAATTCTAGAAAAAATAGCAGCCTCTTTAAGAGCACAAAGTATATAGCCAGCCGGCCCACGCACCCTTCAATACCATTTGTATAGTCCGTTTGCGAATTATTAGTGCACAAAAGTTCGTTCTAATATCTTGCAGAGTTGCAAGGATATATGTGAGCGTTTCTGATAGGAGTGTTTCTTACGGGTTTCTTACGTGCCTCACGATTGGCCTAAATTCTTACGTGAGCCTGACGGTTGGGCGCAGTGACGTGTCAAAATTCACAGAAGGGAATTGGCAAGGATCAATGAAAGAACAGTTCGAACTTGAAATCCAAAAAAATGCTTTGAGAGAATTCTTTCAAGGCCAGAATTTTTTGCCGACTGATTTTCCAGCGTCTTCCAATCGCTGCAGATGCGATGCCACATAAGAAACCTGCAACTGTAACTAACTGTGATCGAATCCTGTCAGAAAACATCTGCAGAAACATAAACCACAGGAACTAATTACTTAATATGCACGACACAGACCAGTTTTATAACTTCTAAATGTGAGGCACAAAGTGGCAAAAAGAAGATTTGCTTAGTCAAATTGTAGAATACTCCATGTACTGCATAATCTAGAAAGAAAAACCGCTGTTGTTCAAGCTTACTGTAAGGTCACGTTTCACACAAGCACGAGCTCAAATTTCTCTTGTCACGAGCAATTAGTCGTGTTTGGTCTGTCAACACTTACTTCAAATCGGACTAATCACAAATTTGTGTAAGAAACTAGCCAATCAAAATGCCGACATATGTCCTTGCGACTCTGCGGGATTCGAACACGATATTCTGCATTAATTCGCAGACGCTCTGTACAGAAGGTTTAGAGTGTCTGCGACGCAGGCTAAAAGTATAAGATTATTGTTATTTACTATTAAGACCAATCTGCCGTAAAGCCGCACTAAATTCTGTTGATGAATCGGATGATGAGGCTCAAGAGACAAATGAAGTCATCGAATCGGATGACAAGGCTCAAGAGACAAATGAAGTCATCGAATCGGATGACAAGGCTCAAGATGCAGATGAAGTCATCGAATCGGATGATAAGGCTCACGATGCAGATGAAGTCATCGAATCGGATGACAAGGCTCACGATGCAGATGAAGTCATCGAATCGGATGACAAGGCTTTCGACGCAGATGAAGTCATCGAGTCGGATGATGAGGCTCAAGATGAGAAAGACGAGGCTGTTGAATCGGATTTGGTATAGAGCTTAGAAAGGGTGCCTATTCCTAAAGAGGGGTACTGCGATAAAGTGTTACTAAGTCAATAATAGAACTCAGTACCAAGTGCTAAGTGGACAATACCAGTTAAACCATATTCGTGGAATATTTAGGGTTAATTGAAAAGGGTCTCACAAAACTTTCTCCATATAAAATGAAATGTACACATTCGAAAGTATAACAGATAACAGTATAACAGGTGTAATTATCTCCCAGTAGAATGGACTGACTTATTTTGTATACTCTCAAACTGGCTTTCTCCAAGCAGATTTGAGTGGACTCCCCTCTAAATTCTACCAAAATTTTCGATGATCCTCCACCTCCCCAGGAGATAAATAAATGACTGGTCCCTAATTGAGCCAAACGTCGAACTTTTCATAAACTTAACTTACTAAGTTTGGATTGTTTCATGTAAAGTTCGACGTTTGGCTTAGGTCTTACCCTCTGGATAAAAACACCAAGGCCAAGGAGTGTCATATGCCCCAGGCTCTTCCTTCCAGCAACAGCATCTATCGTTGCACTCTTTTTTGGAGATGCCAATCCAGCCACAGTCAGTACGATATTGTTTCGCAATACCATCACATCTTCCACCAGCTTTTATTGAGGAAGAAAAAAATAGAAGGCTTAAGCAAGAGCCATTACAGTAAGTATGAGAGAAAGCCGGTAATTAAAGGAAGCAAGATGGAAAATAAATAGTTTGTGTTAACTCTATCGAATTTTTCTAATAGGTAACCTCAGTGTTCCTCTAATCTAATTACTCGTATGCTACTATTGCCTAATATATAGATTTAGCCAGGGCAAAAGCGAAGCTCTCGTTAATATACTTATAGTTTACTTAAAAACAAAAAATAAAATCTTGTTCTGTTAAACGGCGACGGTAACAAGAACGGCCAAAAAAAATCAGCAGGCCTAATTAGCAAAAAAGAAACAACTTTGCACGTGCAGCCCACTATTTTTGGTACATTTCTTTGACGTTGTTTTGCACGACAGCAGCGTGAAACTTCCTAGGCCTCGTCCACACGTATCCGGATATCTTTGAATCCGCAACTTTTTCCTTACGAATACGACTTCCGTTCACACGTATCCGGTGAATCAGTCATACGAATCCGCAACTTTTTGAATCCGCTCTTCAGAGTGGACATTTTTGAATACGCTATGCATTCGGAATCGTGTGGACGCTAAATCCGGATATTTTTTATCCGGTGACGTAACAAGATCGAGCCCAGTTCTTTACCGTGAATACTGTATTCAAGATGGAAACCTCGTTCCCAGGTTCTCTCTCCTACCCGTAGAGGGAAGGTTAGGAGAGGACCCTTTCCAATTGCTTGGGCTAACATGCCCTTAATTGATATGGTGTTACAGCTTTTGACGTCATAAATTTTTTTCTTCAAAAAATGCAAGTTTTAGTTTGATTAAACATGGACAAACAAAACTAATAGTACCATGATGGTAGTCTTTTTTTTGAATGACATTACAGACTCTCCATCCCCGTCATATGCCACCATATTTATGTCATCTTGTAGCACCTATCGGACTAACTATTCAGAGTTTAGTCTTTTCAAAATTATATAGCACAACAAGACCCCAGTAGGATACCCCCATCCCTTCCCTCCGTTTGTACCTCTGTGGGTTATGAATTTGCTTGTACGTCCGATTGTTAAAACAAAGTAAACAGCCCTACGTAATTTAAAGTGCTCACCCAAAGAAGAAACCTCTGATGGATACGCTGTGGAAACGGCTGTAATAGAAGGGTCGCTCGTCGGACTCGAATAGGTCTGTACTGTAACAGACGAGCTCTTGCCAATGGTACAGCCACATTGGTCGCCAGGGTACTGAAGAAAACAGACACTGAACAAGGCAATCTCAAATGCTGGGCTAGTTCCGACAAACAAACTGCTTCCTTGACGAGACGCCTTGGTCGCTGTTTCCCATTTGAATGTGAGGCAACTCATGTAAGGAGGCTATATAAATAAGATAGAAGAAAACCCTTTCCATTCGGTAAAGTGAGCCACCTTGTAATTGTTTAGCTTTGGCACTTGAACTCGAATGTAGAGGGGGATAAATACTCAATTTATCATTGAACTTTGTTTCACTTTAAGCCACGGTTTTTTTCATCATTTGACATGGACCAGTTAGGAAAAATCTGTCAATACCACTGGAAGAGCTCCTAAAATGTAGGAAAATTGCCAAGTTTGAAAGTGATTTGTCTTAAGCGAGCGAAGATATGGCGCGTCAAAGTCGCGAATTTTTACAAAGTTTACCATTTAAACAGCAATGGTAGGGGGCAAATTTGCGAACCCCACCATACAAACGTTTGTAAAATATTGCGACTTTGAGGAGCTATATCTTCGTTATTTTTTAACAAACCATTTTTAAACTTGGCAATCTTATTAATTTAAAGTTGCTTTTTCCAGCGGATTTGGTGGATTTTCCTTAACTTATATATGTCAAAAGTTGGGGGAAAAACATATAGATATAGATTATAGATATCTATTTAGCAATTATTCCACGAATAGGCTATAAGGGCACGAAAATTGCTATTCACTGATTTAGTAAATACTAAATTTAGATATAGATAATCGCCGACAAAATTAGTTGAGACATTTACTGACGTTTTTCTTCAAAAGGAGAAAATAAAGCCTTTCCTCCCCCATCCCCTTCATGAAATGTTGTGCCGCTGTCAAACAACAAACTGACCCCAACTTTGAATGGAGGAAAGAGGTGAGGGGTGTGGATTGTTTTGTCCCCTGAAGCTACCCTATTTTAGTACAATGCCTCAACAATTTTAGAACGGTAGCGATTGCAACGGCCGTCGAAAATTAGAAGGATTTGTATGAGAAAACAACATTTTGCCAACTAAGTCACGCTTGAACGGTTTTCCATACAAACCCTTGTAAATTTCGAAATTTTGAAACCGTCGTGAAATATTTGCTTAAGCATATATAACGGGGCTCAAATCCCCTTTTAATTCATGACAGGCACTTTGAGCCCTTAAATGCGTTAGGTAAAGATTTAAAGACAGCTTAAAATTTTCAGAATTTACAAGGAGTTGTATGGAAACCACTCAAGAGTGACTGGGTGGCAAGAGTTGTTTTTCTCATACAAATGCTTCTAATTTGCGGCGGCCGTTGTAATCGCTACTTTTGAGATATACGGCTGAAAATTTACAGGTTACACAATTTTAATATGCTTTTTCAGCTCGTGCTAACACAACTTTTCAAAAGCGAACTGTTTTCGTGTTCACGGAAAGTTGATCACGTGATCAATTAATGCAAAAGGTCTATTTGCCTTTCGTGCGCGTCAAAATCACTGCTCTCCCTAACTGAGAAAGTACTTTATTATATGCAGCTATCAGACTTCATGATAATCAACAGTGCCCATTTGCATGTGGTTATGGACAATTAGCCGAGGCATTGGAACCAATCAGAAACGGCATAATATTTTGAATGAATAAAAATTGAGTTTATTCTGTTTGGGTTGCAAAATTGATTCATTACTCACTGTTGTTGTAACAAGGAACTGTATTGGCTTTGAAAATGATGTAGGAACATCAGTTATCCCGCCATGGCTACTCGCTTGTTTAAGGAGGAACTGGTACCAGTTGTGAAAACCCTTGTATTCATTTTTAGGCAGGCCCTTGTCACCTTAATTGCAAGAACAAAAAAAAGAGGACATTACTCATAAAAGATAGGCCTAGATTAGACGACGTTCTTATAAAGAGCGGGTTGGCTTGTTGGTCCTGCGTCCTTTGTGAGGCGAAACACGTACAGGCTGCAGCTGAGAGGGTAGCAGAAGTACGAGCGGAAAAAAAGCAGACTCTAAATGCCCTCCTTCCACGTGAGCCTGATAATGAACCTAGTTAAAAGATAAGGTTTGAAATAGATTTACGTTTTATTTGAATTCAAACAATAAACATACAGAATTTTTTATTTCTCACGGAGGTTATTTGTTAAACACCACAAGTTTAGCTCCTGGTGTCGGATTTTCATTAGCAAGTCTAGATCTCGCAAAATTGGGCTTTTATCGATTTCAAAGTTTTTTGTTTATCGTTGTTTAATATACAAGTATCGATTTAACTTAAAAATGCATTTTGACAAACTTCAATCCAAATTCAGTCAGTGGTCAAAATTTTATAACGATCGGACAAGGATAAAATAACTTTTAGGGCGATTGAAAAATAATGGTGTAGTCTCCAAAAAACTGTAAACTAAACACGTTAAAAGAAGCGTGGCTTGTGTCAGAGTCAGCGGGGGACGGGAAGGTAATCTTTTGATTGTGAGAGCAATTCACCCAGACATGCAAGCAAGCGAGCCGCGAAATATTGTAAGGGGGGAAGAAGGAGAATGTGCGATCATGGCTGGAGAGTTTTTTCCCTTCACTTGCATGGGCAAAGGGAAATCAGCTATTTGCTTGTCTTGCTTGGCCTTGCCGCTTGTCATACTTCTTATGGTGCAATTTATTTGAAGTTGGAAGGACTTCCCCGGTGGTACTCCGCATATATAAATATGTGGGTTAGATAGGCATGTGCCGCCCGACAAGGTATGGCCTTTGAGGGTTCCGATCCTTAAATAGGGTATCACTTTTTTCCCTCGTTGGATTGTGTTCGCGGCTTGATCCTTAGATAGCGTACACAAATTGCTTCAGCTATAAAAAGATTCAAATGCGTAAATGCTCAGCTACAATAGAAACAAATCATCTGTTAAAACTGAGCTATCTCGCAGAATATTATGAATAGCAGTACTCCATGCGATTGAATTCTTAGCTTTTGTTTTTCTCTTGAATGAGGTGTCATTTCAGTGTTTTCCCTAGGATTATAGAAAGGCCAGGGGGATATTCTGACTGACTAATAAAGATTCGGGAACTAACTTTTCAAAAGTACAATTCAAATTAAACATTTCGTTAGCAGGTAACTGTTATTCTCCTGTTTTTCTGAGCCACCCAAATGTAAGCTGCTTTCTCAAATTCAAAGTCTTCAAGCTTTGGTCCTGTACACTGACCATTAAAGTATTGTCCAGGATCCTGTTGCTACTTTGTAGCCAAGTTCTGATCCTTTTCAGAGCGGAGAATCCTCTTTGGTTGACTGAGTTCTGCATTTTGACACTCCTTTTAAAGTAAGCACGGGAATTCACTTTAGTACTACGTTTAAGCTCCTTTGAGGGCCCAGAATGTTTCTGGGATAACTTAAAGGTACTGTATTTCCTCGATTAATCGCCTCCCTAGAATAATCGCCCCTCTTTGGCGGAAATATTTGAAATAATCGTCTCCCTCAAGGAATCCCCCCCCCCCCCCCCCCCCCCCCCCCCCCCCCCCCCCCTTTTTTTTTTTTCCACCCCCCCCAACAATTAAAATAAAAAAAAAAAACACTCCACTAAAATTATTCTTTTTAATTTTTTTGTTTACCCAGAAAAATACTATTAATAATTATAAAACATTCTATTTTTAATGATTTATCTGTTTTAAATGTATTTCCTCGATTAATCGCCTCCCTAGAATAATCGCCCCTCTTTGGCGGAAATATTTGAAATAATCGTCCCCCTCAAGGAATCCCCCCCCCCCCTCCGCCTCCCTCCTACCACTATTGTTGGTTTTCACATGACGTCACTAAAATTCAAACTACAAAACGATCGATCCTACTGAAATTTTACTTTGATGATGTGTTAGAGCAGCTGAAAACTAATTTCAATACGTATACAAACTTTCGCTTCATAAGGGTTCTTGGTTTTGTGATAGAGTACGCTTGAATTTCTAAGCTTTTGCGTGACGTGGCATTTACATGAGAGCTGTCATGTAGGTTAAAAAAGTGACGTATTTCGGGGAATTTTGCTATCTTAACAGTTCATGTATTAGAAAAAGTGTTACTTTAATGTTTATGAGTTCCTTGAGAAATAAATTCCCGCTTTTGTAGCAAAACTCGGAAACAGATGTTTTTGTTGGTCTCCGTCCGCCATGTTGGTGCTCATCCAGGTAGGCACCAGCATGGCGTCTTCATACAAATCTCTATAAATTGGGCTAAAACTTTTCTCCGAATATCTCTTGTATGGAATATTTTTCCTACGTGAATCTTAGCGAGGGTTTTGTGTATTTACCTCCTTTCATTTCCCAGATTCCGGACTTTATTTCTTGAACGGTTTTAATTTTACTTTTTGATATATTTTGAATGGGGTGACACTGAAAAGCAGCAATAGGTAACCCGCTACCGATACCCATAGCGGTATATCTGGAGGATGAGGATGAAGGAGGTCTGATTCAGCAAAAAACGACGACGCCGAAGATATTAGCAATGAAAATAATCAAGGAACCAAATTTGGAACACTTGAAAAGCCGATATTCAGTTTCTTTGCTGCGATTATTTTTTGATTTAATGGGGAAAATAGAACAAAACATTTACCGCACGACTTCCAGTGGACAATGTATGAAATAATAATCGCCTCCCTCGAATAAACACCTTTCCTCGGATAATCGACCCCCTTTGGTGCGAAAAACAAATAATCGCCCCCTGCTATTATTTGAGTGAAACGAATGCCTCACAGGTTTGAGCAAATTGATCCCACGGAAAATCACTTTTATAATCAATTGATTAGGAGAAAATACAAATGAAAACACCAGACAATGTTTCATCAACTTTTTTGAGTGATTTCGCCTTTGAATTATTTAGTTCTGATCTGTAACAAACCTTCCGTTGGGCTAAATCACCTTTGGTTTCCGGTGAATTAAGTAAGGCAGCCCGCACCTTGCCCTCAGTATCTACAATCCCGGACAACACTACTTGAGAAAGTTTTCCCCATCATGTCCACTTTCCTACGCAACAAAACTATTTCCAAAACGACGCCTTTGCGGGAAGAAAACCTCTTCCCCCGATTCTATGTTGCTTCCCACAAACGCCCAGGGATCAGGCTTTCTTTTGAATACACAACAACATTGCTTTCAGGGGAAGTGGGAGAGGGAAGAACCGGTACAGCTACGATTTTTAGAAAAATGCTGTCCAAGTATACAATTTTCTCAACAGTTTTGTCCAAGATTGTAGTGTGAAATTAACACTGCATTTTTCGCGTGTTTTGGGCCTTGACTAGTGTATCGACTTTTGTTTATCCCATCCTTAAATAGGGTCAGGGTTAAGGAACCTGGGCGGCAAACACACCTATCCAAAATTAACAGGAGTACTCCTGGGGGTTTACCACGAATGGATAAAATTTATTCCGCCGTTACTGCAAGCCCTTCTCCACTACTCCCGTCCACTGAGCTCGCTTTAGCTGCCGCTCGTGTACGATTGACCCTCAGAAGCGATTTTCAAATGGACGGGGATTTCTCGCAGGTTACCCAGAATGATGTTCCCAATATCAATGTTTACCGTTCGTACAGAAGTTGTAGAAGCAACAATTTAAAGCGCTGTAATGTGTGAAGAATTTAAAGAGGTTAAAAACTATTTCTTACCAACAAATGTATGTTCAAAGCCATTGTGCAATAGTTTTGTTGTCTTTTTGTAATATTCTGTAAACCATATATCATGCAGTTCCTTTTGAAACGACGCTAAGTTCTAGCATTAAAGATAAAAACAAATTTTATTCATGTAGAATGGTTAAGTGTTCATGCAAGAAAAGAACTGAAGAAGAATTGTTTAAGTTGAACATCCACAATTTCTAATTTTATTCTTTCTTAATCCTATGAAGTGAGGGTATTTAACAATTATTCCTCGAGCCCGAATGGGCTCTGAGTCAATCTTGAATTCTTACGAGTAAACCGCTGATCTTAATGTTTGTTGTGACACTTTAATACCCGATTGTAGAGCAAGGAAAGTGGCGAGAAAATGCAAAAATCTTCGTTTTAACTTGTTATGTGACGCGCTCTCAATATGGCGTCGTAAGGAATGTTTTAGCCTTAACAACGTGCTAGTTTGCATAATAGGCCGCCATTTAACTGCGGCCTTATCTGTCATCGACCTTGCAAGGATCATATATCTAATGTGCCCATAGAAGGCTTTTTACAGCCATGAAATGATTTAGATATATCAAAACAATCGTACTTTATTTGGGGAAACAGAATGTAAGCGAATTTTGCTAGCATTATATTTTGCCCTGGTTTACTTACCAGAGGGTAATAAAGACTCACCGTTTTTGCTGGAAATTTTCCTATGGCTATGAGATAATTTAAGGCCTCTTCGATGGGACCACCTGGTTTGCAAATCTCAGAGAGAAAATCCGTTGCTTTTTGTGTTTTTACGGGAGACGAATCCCCTGAATTACGCTCCCAGCTTTTCAATGCAGCTGTTAAAATGCAGAGTATAAATGGCTTAGCCAGTTTGTCAATAAAGTCATAGAAGGAATGGACTCCTAGGTGGTAGTAACGGGCTCCTCTATAAGACGAACACCTCCAAAAACGGACGTTAGAGTTTTTCCCTGACTTTATCAGTTTCTTTTCATGGATCGCTCAAAGAGGCAGGCGCACAATAGACCCTCATGATTAATAAAGCCCCTAACTGTGCTCCATCTCAGCGACAATTGACTGTATGAGAGGTAACCCAGCAAAGTTCTCACATAGGAATATCACTCTTGTGCACTCAAAACACCTAATTCATTAAGATGGTGACAACATTGTTTGTTTTCTAAACAAGGAGTCCATTTTTAAAGCTCTTTGTTCATGGGAATACCATTTAACTCCTTATACCCTTTCACAGTGAAGTCCCCGACAGTGCTTGAGCTAAATGGGTATTAGAAAAAATAATGATAAGATAAATAAATGTTCTGAAAGTTCACAGAAATCTGTGAATGATCCTTTTCTTTCCTTTAATTTGCGATAGTCACAGTGTAGACAATTTTAAAGATCTCAGGTAAACAAGGAAAACAATTAAGTTATCCATAAAGGAAAAGAAGAATCATCGCCAGACCCGAGTTGTCTATAAAATGAAAGGGTGGAGTGGAATGAGACCTTCACGAGCAGTTATTGTGCAAACAAATTCATGCATGTACAGAGGTTTAGACATGAAGAAAAAGGCAAAAGTCGAATACCATTCCAGCTTTGACCTAAAACCACCGCCCTGACGCTTTCTGGAAATCACTAAGAACCAAGAGACTATAAAGGGGACAGAGAGGGCATCCCCCATATACACCCTATTCCACAGGTAATTCGCCTCGAGTTATTTTTAGAATCGGGATAAAGTTACCTCGCGCGAGGCGTGGATGTTTCGTGGAGGTTTCGCATGACCAAACGCCGTGCACAACATGTCGGGCGAGAGGCACTGAAAGCGTAAAAAGATCGAGAGCATTCCTGAATATTGAAGGGAAATGAATCGGCGCTCACCTGGGAAAAAGGAATCGCTGGACTCTTTGACAACCCGTGAAATCAGTTTAACTCGAAGTTGTCGTAACCTCAGTGCTTTAATAAAATGAGAAATTTCGCCGGCCTGTTGAAACCGGTCGTTTGTACAATTTAGGGAGTTTAAGATCCAACGACGCGGAGGACAACCAGAACGTCAAAAAAACAATAGGTTTAATTAGCAAAACAACAACTTCGCACGTGCAACACACTTTTTTGTTCATTTCTTTCCCGTTTTTGCACGACTACAACGTGAAAATGCCTAATTTCGCGTTTTATGGAGGACGTAAATAAGCAACGACGAAATTTTATTTCTCTTTCTGAGCTTGAATATGGTCCCTTGAAATTCAGCTTTAGGAGGGTTCGCCTAAAATTGACAAAGTAAGTGGGTAGGAATAATCGCTATAAAGACTGAAAAAA